CCCTGGCCCCACTGCTGGACCTCCTGATGGCACCTGGTATTTTTGGCCCCTGTGTGACTGAGTGTTGGACTGGATGGGCCATTGGCCTGATCCAACATTGGCTTCTCTTATGTCCTCATAGATAAGCATACAGAGCAGAGGTCCATCAGTGGCTCTTAGCCACAAGGTATAGATAGGAACTCTCAGGCTGGGGCAAGAGATGCTCTGTCTTCTTGGTGCGTGGGGGGGCTTCTAGTGTCCTGGCCCCACTGCTGGACCTCCTGATGGCACCTGGTATTTTTGGCCACTGTGTGACAGAGTCTTGGACTGGATGGGCCATTGGCCTGATCCAACATTGGCTTCTCTTATGTCCTTATGAAAGAGTGGAAGTCTGGTTTTTAAACAAACGACCATTGGGCACTCTGGGGTTTCCCCATCGAGCCATGCGGCGCAGTTGGAGGATCTGCCTTGGTTCCACGGGAACACAGAAAAGCCGTCTCGGGTGTAGAAGCTGACTCTCTCCAAACAATCAGATCTCCAGCTCCGCTACTTGCAAGCATGTGAGCAGGGCAGATTTCTCCCCTGCTCTAATGAACCTGATTACATTCTGCACTGTACCTTTGCGACACCCCCCCTCCCCTTCTGAATGGGACATACATAATGACTCGGGAATCTCTATTCCTGCTTCTGTCTGACGAAGGGAGCGTTGGCTCTCAAAAGCTTATACCCTAAACATTTTGTTGGTCTCTACGGCGCTCCTGGACTCAAATCCAGCTCTGTCCAGGGCAAGACTCGACCAGAGGTGAAGGGGGCGGTGGGAAAATATTTTTCACACACACACACCCAGCCCCAACCACGAATTTAACCTGAATTCAAACCTCTTGTGGCGTAAAGGCAAAGGTTCCCTTGCTCGAAAGCCAGTCGAATCCGACTCTAGGGTTGCGGTGCTCATCTCCGTTTCAAAGCCAAAGAGCCAGCGCTGTCCGAAGACGTTTCCGTGGTCATGTGGCCGGCATGACTAAACACCAAGGCGCACGGAACGCTGTTCCCTTCCCACCGAAGTGGTACCTATTTATCTATTTGCAATTTCTTGCTTTCGAACTGCTAGGTTGGCAGGAGCTGGAACTAGAGATGGGAGCTCACTCCGTCATGCGGCACCCGGGTCTCGAACTGCTGAACTACTGACCTTCCACAGCCTGCAGTTCAGCGTCTTAACCACTTGAGCCACCGCAGCTCCTTGTGGTGTACCGAGAGTAAAAACAGGGTCTCAGTTAATTACTCTCAGCGTGCCACAATTAATGGTACGTCCACCCATGAATCCCCAATTTTGGCAGATCTATTTCCTGCGCCCAAACAAATGGTAACCATTCATTATGCTGTATGCTAATTTGCTGCTCACCCCTCTATCTATATGTATGGACTGGTAATTTCCACTTCATTGTACCTGAGGAAGGGTGCATGCACACAATAGCTCATACCTCGAGTAAAACTTTGTTGGTCTTAAAGGTGCCCCTGGACTCACACTTTGTTCTTAAACTAGACCAGGGGTGTCAAACTCATTTTTTATGAGGGCCAGATCTGACATAAATGAGACCTTGTCGGGCCGGGCCATGTGTGTCATAAAATGTAATGCCAGGTAGCGGAGATATAAACTCTATAAAAAACACAAACACAATGGGGTGGTGGTTGTTGTTTTACTTAAAATAAAAACATGCTTAAAACATCAGCACTCTTGCAATATTTTGCTTATTTAACAGTGTCTGATAAATGACACCTCTTGCTCTGCATGATTGCATCAAAATGTCTGTGCAGTTGCAATCTCGAGTGTGCTGTTCAGGTGTGCATCTGTAAACTGCAAGCCTACGATGACGCAGCAGCGGCAGAACTGGAAGAAGAAGCAGAAGACAGCCGGTTCCACTGCGGGCCTGATAGAAGCCCTCTGGGGGCCTGATCCGGCCCCCGGGCCACATGTTTGACACCCCTGAACTAGACTGTAGCTTAAGAGGTATTGTATGCCCAAATACACTGCACTGTGTCCTGGAAAGCCCCTTAAAGTTGTTTCAGAGTAATCTCAGATTCCCCAAAACACATGGGAAAAGAGGCCTTCCATCTCCATGCTTTTTAAGGCCAGCCGGTGGACTAGTGGAAGTGTCACCCAAAATGCCTCCGGCTTGCTTCGGACTCCTCAGTGTCCCGGCCACAACTGTTCAGGAAACAACCTTGCACAGCCCCCAGTTTCATCCTGGCCGCACCGGCGGGACCGCAAGAGCGCTTCGGACCAGAAGAGACAGAGTCAAGCCACAAACGTCAAGACTGCATCGATTCTTTTTTTTATTATTGTGAATAAATAGAACCCCCACACACACTCCTGGCACAGGTCTCCAAAAGTTCATCACTATAAACATTGGTGTATATAAAGGGCCCACGGCTGTGAACAAAAACGTCAGACCGGAGAGGCCAGGGCAGGGCAGATGAGGCGCCTGTCCGGAGGCGCTGGATACGACCGCTGTGTTTCAGTGCACGGTTACTGGGGGGGGGTCAAGTAGGGAGGGACTTGGCAATCTTTTGGCGCTCACTGAGCTTTCTTTAGTGAGAAGGCGTAAAAGGGCCGCCCCCGCCCCCCCTGGGCCCACGAGCATCCAGCTCTGGAACTCGCCCGACTCTCACCTGTTAAAAAATCCTGTCCTATTCAGAAATCCAGTTTTACGAAGACAACACCATTAACCTGGGAGCAAAGCCTGCTTCCCCCAAAATTTAAGAGGCCCGACGTTTAACCACGGGGGGCTGAAGAAGGTGATAGAACAGCCGGTACTTCAAGACTGTGAGCGAACCACTGAGTTTCTCCCCTGGCCTAAATCACTCCACCACCGTCTGTCCATTCCCCCACTGCCCTTTTTTACTGGGGGGAGGGTTTACATTCAAAAACCTGCACCCTTTGGTCTGTTTTGCCACTGTTAAGATTCGACCGCCTCACTGGGCCACGGCCTGAAGAGCCAGTCCACGGATAGTGGGAGAACAGGGGAGCCAATGACCGGAAGATGGAAAAGTTTAGATTTTTAAAAAATGTTTAAGGCATTCGATTCTGCGGGACAGTCCAGCCCCGAACAGAATCACTCTACCACTGTGTCATCCCCCCCCCCACGTTGCCCTTTTTTTGCTCGCAGGGAAATGATTTTTACTTGGGGGGGGGGGTTACACACTCCCTCCCGCACCACATACGGGCCAAGGGTCCAGTGCAGATGACAAGACAGCCCCCCCAACCCCGTAGCCAGGAGTTTTTTTTAATTCGGGGGGGGGCTTTAAATAAGTCGGGAGGCACCCCCGCACATAAACCCAAGCCTGGGAGCAACCCATAGAAGCCCCCGTTCTCTCGTGCAAGCCGCCAAGGGAGAGGCATACCACACAGCCTGGAACAGCTCTCTCCACCTGGCTCTGCGAAAAGTCGGGGGGCCCGGACAGTAAGTCGGGGGGCCCAGCTCCGAGGTGCCCCACTGTAGTTACGGGCTTGCCTCCCCCCAAAATGTATTTCCCCAAAGGGATTACCAATATCGCACCGACAAGATGACACTCTCGTGTTTCTGCTTGCTGATGTTCCGGTGCGCAAAACTGACACGCCGGGGAAATGGTTCCGGGGTGGGGAGGGCTGACGGAGCGCGTTCCCCGATCGAGCCGATTCCACACTGCCCTTGTGCAAACAATCCCTCCCGTGTGTGGCCCAAAATCTGAGCTCTGCATTTGAAAAACGGAGTCTCGGGCGTCTCAGGGGGTCTACTAAAGACTTTGGGGGCCGCGGAACGGCGCTCGTGCCGCTCTCCGTTCCTCCCCTGAATAAAAAGCCCCGAAGGTTGTGGCTTTCCAATTCGCGACACCTGTGAACGGCACAGAGATTCCCTAAGATTATGAAGAGGACAGATCAAAGCTGGGTGGGGTGAGCAGATCGGAGTGGCGCACACGAAAAGAGAGGATGCCCAAGACAGTACTTCAGTGGAACCCGGGGGTGGGGGGGTGGGATGAGCGGCTTTTAGTGCCGATACCTAGAGCGCCTGTCCGTCCACGTTCCCCAACCAATGTGCGTGCATGGACGCACGACCCCCGGCAACGATCCCCATGCTCTTGGTGCGCGCCTCCGGAGGGAGGTCGCAAGCGCTTGAGCCCCACGTCTGCTGTGCAGCTGTTTGTAAAAGGTGACCCTCCTCTCGACGTTTTAAAAGTATGAAGGAAACAGTTGTGAGAGTCCGACCCACAAATCAAGCAGTCAACAAGACTGGCAACGAAAATGCTTTCTATGTATTGCAGTCTGAAGCACTACAGCACAGTAAATAAATCCCTACAAATCATAAGAAAATCCTACTACTCTGTAAGTAAGACTGAATTTGGATTTTATACTGTTTTCCACTGTTTCCATTGTATATATTCTAAAGAATTGTATTTTTGTACACTACAGAATGTTTTCTGAGGAAGATCCAATTTTGAAACGTCGTTATATAATCCGGAGACGACGTTGATGATGTACCTTTGCATTAGGGTTTTCTAATGATTTGTAGCAACTGCTAACAATGGATAACCCTAATTATGTGAACAATTTTACGGAGAAATGGTTTGTTTTTTTCGAATATGTTACTGCATGCCAACCTCACCTATATAAATTGCCGCAGAAATATAAAGACTTTGCCTTTTACTAACGATAGAATCAGAGACAGGATCACAGAAATTATTAAGTTCCTTGGAGGTTCTGTATCATGGTTTTTAGGTTTTAGAATTCATTCTTTTTCTTTTGGTTAATATATGATTGTTTGAAACTGTATATTGAACTATCATGAGTTAATTTGTTATGGTTTTACCTCTTGGGGTTACTCTGTTAAGAACCGATGTTGTTGTTATGTGTAATGTTAAACGTAATAAAAAGTTAATTATAAAAAAAAATCGTAGGGATTTATTTATTGTGCTGTAGTGCTTCAGACTGCAATACATAGAAAGCATTTTCTTTGCAAGTCTTGTGGACTGCTTGATTTGTGGGTCGGACTCTCACGACTGTTTTCTTTATACTTGTTCTCTGATTGGGTCGTGTTTGTCCACATTTGTCTTGTAACGTTTTAAAAGTGGCACAGTGCAAAAGACGGGCAGAAAGAACCAACGCCGCGCAGCGAGTTGAGAGCAGGCTAGATGCAGGTGCCAAGGCCTGGAGACTCTGGCGGATCGCGGAGCTTCTCTCGGAAACGGCAGTCTAGCCGGGAGAAACGGTCTCCTGCCCCACGCCGGCGCCTGCTGGTCAAAGCTAGTGTGGGGAAAGCCAACCCCAGAGGAGATGGCAGCCGTAAATTTCAGATTACTGGGCGCCACCAAGAACAGCGACTGGGGGGGTGGGGAGCCAGCCGAAACGCCAAGTCCCAGTCCAAGAGCTGAGCCAGACCCTCCTTACGCCTCCAGGTCGATCTGGAATGGAAACTCATCTGCACTCGGGGCCCTGCTGCTGAGAAGCTGGGTGCAAGGGGCGGGCCGGCCAGGACCACCGCCGGATTTAGAGGGGTCTCCTCTCTCGGCAGAAGTGCCGGAAACGGGCGGCGGGGGAGCCCCACTGTCCCGTACACCTTTCGGCCCCCCCTGGCTCCACTGGCTGCCCTCCCATGGGAAACGGGCGACCGGCCCAGAGGCTCCTGGGAGCAGCTGCCATTCCCCGAGGGAATCCTGAAAGCGTGCCTCTCCGTTAAGATCAGGGGGCAGCACGGCACCTTTGGCGGCTACCCAGCCTTGCCGCAACCTGACCGTGGCCCAGATGCTGAGGTTTGGGGCGGGCAGGCACAGAAAGCCAGGTGGAGCCTGGGAAAGTCAACGCTCGCTTGCAAAAACTGAACACACATCCAAGCCTACGCACATACGAGTGCATCTCCTGCAGCCACCGTATGCTCTATCCCCGGACTGTTGTTCCGACTGTAAGCACTTTGGGACGCTTGCCATAGTTCCACATTGCCGCTACTCAAGTGGAATCATTTGCACCTCGGGCACTTGGCCCTCCTGCCACTGAGAAGCTGGGTCTCCCTCCTCGGTAGCTTGAACACGGTGATAATCCTGAAGCGGGGGGGGGGAGTGAACGGACTCCCTTTCTAAATGGCCAGGCCCTCTCCTTAACACGGCATGCCAAGAAAGCTCACCCGACAAGCACCCAACATTTCAAATACTGTACTTTCCAAAAGAACGATAATAATAATAATTATTATAATAATAAAACACTGCTCCGGAAAAAAAACCAAACGTAAACGCTACTTATTTCAAATCCAGTTTCAGAACCAGGCGCTTCCTGGATCGTGAGAAGAGAAAGTCGAGACTTGGCGTCCCTCCCAGGAGGCGGAGGGCGGTTTGCGTGCAATACGGAACAGTTACCGGCTTCCATCCAGTTCACCCTCCAATCTAGGGAACAAAACGGACCGCTGTGTGAGAGAGGAAGAAATGAGAGAGACCGGAACAGGCGCGAGGCAAGCCCACACGTCGCTCAGATTCCGGAGAAAGTCCCAAACAACTGAACAGGCAGGCGTGGAACGGAACTGAGGGGGAGCGTCTGCAATTTGGCAAGATGTGGTCAAAAACACTGCGGCGTTATTGAGAAGGGGCGAGAGGGGAGAGTTCCTGCCTCCGGGTTTGTGACGGAGCCGGGAAAGGTCAGCCCGTCTTCGCCAGCAGTGGGACTTAACCTCTGGCACTTCCTGGCGAGAGCCACAAAGGCGTTCCTTTGCTGACCCGTCGCACAAAAACAAGGAACGGCCAGTCACAGTTAGACGTGTGGGGGGGTCTCCCCCGAATCGATCCTCTAGGCCATTCAGGACGTTGCCTGGGTATGCATGTGGGTATGTGCGTGGGGCGGGAACATACACGGAAGATTCTCTTTGCCGGCCCTTGTCACTCTCCCATCGGCGAGCAAGTTGAGCGACCGCCGGCCACTACCTCTCCACGCTGCCCTGCCATCTGCGGAGGAGGATCTGTGTCAGGTCGAAGGTCGTGAAACTGATCCCCACGGCGATGGGTCCCTTGACCCAGTTCATGCTGAGGCCTTTGTACAAGCCCCGGACGAGTCCCTCCTCCCGAATGATCTCCGACATGGTGCGGAGGATGGACGTGTAGGTGTGCCCCGTCACCCCCGCCGTCTGCATCCGCCGCCGCACCACGTCCAGCGGGTAGGAGGCCGACTGCCCAATCAGGCCGGCGCAGGCCCCGAAGACGAGCCGCTCCACGGGATACGGCTCCGTTCGCCCGCTGCGATCTGGAGAGGGACACAGAGGTGGAGAAAGGGATCACTGGCAACGTGCATGGTGGAGGGAGCGGTGACTCAGTGGCAGAGCATCCGCTTGGCATGCAGAAGGTCCCGGATTCAATCTCTGGGGTCGCCAGTTAAAAGATCTGGCAGTAGAAGAGAGGAGGAGATTGGATTCATACCCCGCCCTTCACTACCCGAAGGAGTCTCAGAGCGGCTTACAGACTCCTTTCCCCCCTCCCCACAACAGACACCCTGTGAGGTAAAAGAAGAAGAAGAAGAGATTGGATTTATACCCCGCCCTTCACTACCCAAAGGAGTCTCAGAGCGGCTTACAATCTCCTTTCCCTTCCCCTCCCCACCACAGATGGGTAGGTGGGGCCGAGAGAGCTCTCTCGAGAACTGCCCTTGAGAGAAGAGCTCTGAACTTGTGACTGACCCAAGGTCACACCAGCAGCTGCATGTGGAGGAGTGGGGAATCAGACCCGGCTCTCCCAGATTAGAGTCCGCGCTCCTAACCACTGGCTGGGGCGATGGCACGCGTGCCCACAGAGAGGGCTCTGAGTGCCGCCTCTGGCACCCGTGCCACAGGTTCACCATCACTGCTCTAAGCTGAGTCAGTGTGAGCTAGCTCACAGTTTTTTTAGCCTTCGGCTCACACATTTTCGTCTTAGCTCAGGAAGGAGGGCTCCAGAGCAAACTGATTTATGCAGAAGCCAAATTGCATGCTCACAATTTTAATGTGAGTAGCTCACAAAGTAGGATTCTGGCTCATAAGACTCCACAGCTTAGAGGGAGCATTGGTCCGGAGATCAATTGGAACAGTTTATTTACATTTATTTATATGTTGGATTTATTCATCCCCCAATCCCTGCTATTGCCAGGCCCTGAGCCATGTACAGGATCCATAAAACACAACCAGAGAACATCATTAAACATTCAAAGCACATATTCGAAGGAAAGAGACGGCGAATGCTAATTAATCCAATTTCAGGCTGCCGGCTACTTTGTGGGCAGCAGGGGGAGAGGGAAGAGGGCAAGATAAAGGTGACCCGCTGTCCTCAACCTGGCCCTCATTCAGCCAGGAGGAGGCAGGAGAAGAGGGAGGGTAAGTTGCTTCCTCCCCGCCTCTCCCCACCCCTGCCTGCCTGGGGCCAGGGAGGGCCTTGGCGGGGCTTCCTCACACTCCCACCGGCCTTGCAGGTCCACTGCCAGGCCTTATGATGTCAGGGGGTGTGGCATATGCTAATGAGTTATGCTAATGAGTCCCCCTAGCTCTTTTTCTACGAAACGACCCCTGCTTACAGGGCTTGCAGAATTGCATAAGGTCCCGCAGGGCCCTGATGGTATCTTAGGCAGAGAGTTCCACCAGGTTGGGGCCAGGACTGAAAAGGCCCCGGTCGAGGACGGCCGGGTATCCTCAGGGCCGGGGGACCACCAGCAAGTCGTTATCCGAAGAGCGTGACGCTCTCCCAGGGAGGGACGTGACGGAGGAGACGGTTCCGTAGTGGGAGATCTCCAAGTCCAGCTGGAAGCCGGCCACTTGAAACGTGGCTGCAGGTAGGCAGGTATGTGTGGTCAGTGTTTGGCTGGGAGGAGCCACGTTGGGTTCTGAAAACGGAAGGCGGGCAGGCTAGGAAGGCACAGTGCAGAAGCCTCAGAGGATGGACTTGGGGGGTCTTTTCCATGTGTCCTGCCCCCTTTGAGCCAGTTTGGTGCAGGGGTGAAGTGCGCGGACTCTAATCTGGGAGAACCGGGTTTGATTCCCCACTCCTCCACTTGCACCTGCTAGATGACCTTGGGCAAGCCGTAGCTCTGATAAGAGCTGTCCTTGAAAAAGAGCAGTTCTGTCAAGAGCTCTCTCAGCCCCGTCTACCTCACAGGGTGTCTGTTGTGGGGAGGGGAAGGGAAATGAGTCTGTAAGCTGCTCTGAGACTCCTTTGGGTAGTGAAGGGTGGGGTATAAATCCAATCTCTTCTTCTTCTTTTAACTCACAGGGTGTCTATTGTGGGGAGGGGTAGGGAAAGGAGTTAGTAAGCCGCACTGAGACACCTTTGGGTAGTGAAGGGCGGGGTATAAATCCAGTCTCTTCTTCTTCTTCTTTGAGGAACACCAGGACGAGAAGGTGAACGGTCTCTGAGACAGAATGGTGACACCTTGTCCGATTTTCTCACGGAGGGACCCCCACAGCCTCCCAATTTAGAAGACCGCTCCTCTGGACTCCGCGGAGACACGCCCACCGCCTCCGCCGAGCTTACCTGCGTGCAACTTCTTCAGCGTCTCGTACGTGAAGAAGCTCAGCCCGGCGTAGGGGATGACCCCCAGGATCGTGGGCGCGAAGCCTCTGTACAGGGTCTTCAGCCCTTCATCGCGGGATATCCGGATGAAGACATGGATGATGTTGCTGTACCTGCCAGGTAAACGTGGGACGCCATGAGGGCACGTCTTGGTGCGAGGAGCGGGGCAGCCGGGACCCCCACCGGTTTTACGCTCTCGGTAGAGATGCAGGAAATGGGCAGCGGGACAGCACCGCTGTCCCGTGCCCCTTCAGGCCCCACCTGTGCCTCACTGGCTCCCCTCCCATGGGAAATGGGCGACCAACTCAGAAGCTCTAGGGATCAGCTATCGCTTCCTGAGGGAATCCTGAATGCGTGCTTCTCCGTTAACATCGGGGGGTGACACTGCCCAACTGTCCAACTCAGGCACCTGACCTCGGGACCGGCTGGCTGAATTGGTTGCATTGTCCATTCTCGATCTCCACTGCTTGTATCCTTATCGCTGCCCTCATTTGCTACTGAATTCCTTAGGGGGGGGAGAGTGTATGTAGCTCACTAGGGAGGATTGCTTGGTAATTTTCCTAAGGGGGCCCCAAGACACCTTGCACACGAGAAATGTCCCTGGAGAAGACTGTGCCTGGCTAGATGGTGACTGTATATCTTTCAGAGTCAATGTAGTAATGCTGGCGTGGTGTGCATGGGATTTTGGGGTTTTATCTATATCTTGTCTTCTCCCGCCTTTGCGGATCGGTCCTGACAAAGAGCTTGAAGGCACACATCTCAGATCTCTAAATAAAGCATTCACTGCCAAAGTGTGTGTGGAGAGTGATTTGACTGGGAACCTGACACCAACGCTGCCTCACCCTGACAGCGGCCCAGATGCTGAGATATTTTTTTTGGGGGGGGGGAAGTCAAGTGGATCCTGGGAAACGTAACATGGGCTGCAAAAGCTGAACAAACAGCCACGCCTGTGCGCATATAAGTGCCTTTCCCCACAGCCACGCTATCATTTCCCCGGACTTTATAACAACGTTTCAAAAAACGGATCTTACTCAGGGCATATTCTATGAAGTAGTACAAGAGCTTTCATGCTCATAAAATGCTATACACAGAATCAATAAAAACAATGCATATTAGTGGTAGGACACTGATGTCTAAAGTATTCAGGCTGCAAACATGCTACTCGGTTTCTGATGGCTCCCAGGCACCTGCGACTTGGCAGCAAACAAATAAAGCAGGATAACCCCGTCGAGGATCAGAGTGCACGTACATTATGTTGCCGTGATCCTCACAGCACCCCTGCCAGGTGGGCCAGTATTGCCCCCCCATACTGCAGGTGCAGTGCCAAGGCTAAAGAGCAAAATACAAATGGGGATCACGGTTAGATGATACAAAACACCGTAAGAATACCACGAAGCAAGCCAACTAACAATGTATCACATATGCTCAGATAAAACAATTTCATCCAACACATAGCGAATTAATAATAGGGATTCAATAGAATTTATAAACAAGCTTCAAGAGGGAATTAGATAAGCATATGGAGCAGAGGTCCATCAGGGGCTATTAGCCACAAGGTATAGATAGGGACACTCAAGCTGGGGCAAGGGATGCTCTGTATTCTTGGTGCTTGGGGGGTGGGGGGACAGTGGGAGGGCTTCTAGTGTCCTGGTCCCACTGCTGGACCTCCTGATGGCACCTGGTAATTTTGGGCCACTGTGTGACAGAGTGTTGGACTAGATGGGCCACTGGCCTGATCCAACATTGGCTTCTCTTATGTTCTTATGTTCTTATATTAAAGTAGAAGATACCAGAACGTATTATACAAGGCATGAACCATCCAAAAAGCAATCGGCGGCGTCAACAATGTAAGGACAACCTAATGATGAGTGCATAGTACACAACATACAAGCTGAAGTCCTTCTATACATGCGCAGTCTCCAGGTAGATCTCCCAGCTTGAATTACAAAGCAGACCATTTGGGAATGACAGGAGGCAGTGGCATTTGACCAAATTAATAGAAGGTGGTCAGACCTTGAAAAAAGCTCTTCTTGAAACGGTCTGTCCATTGTTCGTCGGGATTTGCTCAGCTGACGATAGATTTCTGCTTGAAGTCCCTGTTCTAAGCACCACAGGAGCTCTATCTGGAGACTGTCCATGTACAGGAAGACTTCAGCTTGTATACTGCGTATTATGTACTCATCGTTAAGGTAAAGGTCAAGGTTTCCCTCGCTCGAAAGCCAGTCGAATCCGACTCTAGGGATGTGGTGCTCACCTCACTTTCCAAGCCGAAGAGCCAGCGCTGTCCGAAGACGCTTCCGTGGTCATGTGGCCGGCATGACTAGACGTCGAGGCGCACGGAACGCTGCTACCTTCCCACCGAAGCGGTACCTATTTATCTACTTGCAGTTTCTTGCGTTCGAACTGCCAGGTTGGCAGGCGCTGGGGCCAGAGACGGTCGTTAGGTGGTCCTTAAATTGTTGATGCCGCCAACTGCTTTTGGGATGGCTCATGCCTTGCATAATATGTTCTGATGTCTTCTACCTTATATGTTTATACATTCTATTGAACCCGTTATCAATTCACAACATGTTGGATTAAATTGTTTTATCTTAACATGCGCGATGCACCGCTAGTGAGCTTGCTTCACGGTATTCTCACCGTGGTTGTTTTGTTTTTTTAATACCAAGGCTAAAGGGAGCAGCAGCCCGTTTTAAGGCCAGCTTAGCAAGATTTCAACCAGCTTCCCCCGAGACCGCAGCCTGTTCCCGAAGTCGCTTGGCCACACAACAGACTAGAGGGGACAGTCTTCTCCTGAGGTGACGAGGGATGGCTAAAAGGCCTGTCTGGTTCTGCCTGCTGGGCTGCACCGTCTCCTTCCAAGCCTGCAGAACTGACCTCCCGCTTCTAAGCAGAGAAGGCGTCCATCCTCGGGACGGGAAAAACGACGCACGTCCCCCTCTTTAGATCATGAGCAGCTCGCCAAGGATCTGGACAATTCGGGTTCCCAACCTCGTGGGGGGGGGGGGCGGTTGGGCAGGAGACACCCCCGACGGCCTCGAGCCAAGGATCCGATGTCAGCTTTCCTCCCTCCGTAACTATTTTTGGCCTCGCCGCTCACCATGGCACCAGGAGGGATCTGGGCTATTTTTAAGCGTGAGCAAAAGAGTCAAAGGGTGCTTTGGGGGAAAGGAAGACAGGCTCCGTGCCACTCACGGAAGCCCCGGGCAGTCCCGTAGGCCCAGGCTCAGACGGCGTTCACTCCACTTCTGCACACTGCAGAGGATTCTGGGAAGGGGCCCGGAAGGTCCCCTGCCCCGTTTCTGCCCCAGAACACAACCCGTGCTCTCGGCGAAACAGGAACTGGCACACGGAAGGTCACCTGGGATTTCTTCGACCCTCCCAAGACTGGCTGCCTGTCAGGAAGAGGCAGTACCAGGCCGGTAGGGTTGCCACCTCCGGCTTGGGAAACACCTGGAGATTTTGGGGGTGGAGCCTGAGGAGGGCGGGGTTTGGGGAGGGGAGGGGCTTCAGTGGGGTCGAAGGCCAGAGAGAGCCCACCTCCCAAAGCAGCCATTTCCTCCAGTTTCACAGCAGCTGTAATAGCGGGAGATCTCCAGGTGCCACCTGGACGCTAGTGACCCCCACAGGCCGGACGGACCCCACCCGGGGGCGGATTATGGCTCACCGGTGCCCTAAGCACTGACCAATCTTGGTGCCCCCCTCCTTTCCACACTGACCCCCCAGCCCATTGTAGTTGTTGACCTGTCTGACCAGATATACAATGCAGGTTAAAGGTAAAGGTAAAGGTTCCCTTGCTTGAAAGCCAGTCGAATCCGACTCTAGGGTTGCGGTGCTCATCTCCGTTTCAAAGCCGAAGAGCCAGCGCTGTCCGAAGACGCTCACTCCGTCATGCGGCACCCAGGTCTCGAACTGCTGAACTACTGAACTTCCACAGCCTGCAGTTCAGCGTCTTAACCACTTGAGCCACCGCAGCTCCTACAATACAGGTTGCAGCAGTACAAACATTTATTCATAGTATAACACAACATACCGTACAAACTAAGCTTTTCGCCCCTTTCCCAACTTTGTGGTGCCCCTTTTGGCCCTGGTGCCCTAAGCATGTACTTCGTCTCCTTCATGGTTAATCTGCCCCTGACCCTGCCCAAGGTGGCTTTGCCGTTCACTCACATCTCCTTGGGCGTCACGGCCATCCGTGCGCGGACCAAGTCCAGAGGGTACGTCAACATGGCTGCCGTCGTGCCCGCGAGAGAGCCAGCGAGGAACCGGGGCAGCGGCGTCAAGGCCCTGAGCCAAAGGGAAAGAAGAACGGTGAGGGGAGAGTTCCTTCCTGCTCCTCCATCTTTCGCTGTGGGGCCGGAGGGAAGAACAACGTTCCTGCAGGCTTCAAGTGAATGTTCCTGCAGGCTTCGAGTAAACCCTTGGACAAAAACCTACCAGCAAGGCAGGGCTTGAGCAGGGACACTGTGGCTTTAATATTTTGAAACGAAGAAGAGAAGAGATGGGATTTATACCCCGCCCTTCACTACCTGAAGGTGTCTCAGAGCGGCTTACAATCTCCTTTCCCTTCCCCTCCCCACAACAGACACCCTGTGAGGTAGGCGGGGTTGAGAGAGCTCTTGACAGAAATGGCTCTTTTTCAAGAACAGCTCTGACAGAACTGTGGCTTGCCCAAGGTCATCCAGCCAGGTGCAAGTGGAGGAGTGGGGAATCAAACCCGGTTCTCCCACATCAGAGTCCATGCACTTAACCACAACACCAAACTGGCATTCTGTTAACACACAGCTTCTGCCGGAAATGCTGAAGAGTTACTATCAGGGTTATACATGCCTCATTCCCTGCCATTTGATGGGCGGCCCCACCACTTTTGGCAGCCATCTTGTGGTTACGCCCACCACCTGTGACCAGTATTCCCTCTAGGCCGAGTTAGAGTGAGCTAGCTCAGTTTTTTTAGCCTCCGGCTCACATGTTTTCGTCTTCGTTTCAGGAAGGAGGGCTCCAGGGCAAACTGATTGATGCGGGAGCAAAACTGCTCGCTCACGGCTTTAATGCCGGCAGCTCACAAAGTAGAATTTTTGCTCGCAAGATGCCACAGCTTAGAGGGAGCGCTGCCTGTGACAGAATTCCAAAGGTCCCTGCAGGCTGAAAAGGGTGGCAGATCTGTGACCTCAGGAATCTACGCAATCCGTAAGATCACCACCATGACGTGCAGAGAACGGGGAACGTTGTAGAGAAGACAGCAGCAGAGATGGATATCAAGGCCTTTCTACGGTTTGGGGGCGGTGGCAGCAAACCCCTGAGCCTTCCTGGCATGGGTGAAGGCTCTGGTTGTCGGCAACTGGGAACTCAGCGACGGCAGACAACGGCAGGGGCTGGGGAGGAGGAGGAGGAGGAGAAGGAGGAGAAGAAGAAGGAGAAGGAGAAGAAGGAGGAGGAGAACAAGGAGAAGAAGGAGAAGGAGGAGAAGGAGAAGAAGAAGGAGAAGAAGAAGGAGGAGAAGGAGGAGAAGGAGGAGAAGGAGGAGAAGAACAAGGAGGAGAAGGAGGAGAAGAAGGAGGAGGAGGAGAAGAAGAAGAAGAAGAAGAAGAAGAAGAAGAAGAAGAAGAAGAAGGAGAAGAAGGAGAAGAAGAACGCAGCGACGGCAGACAGCGGCGGGGGCTGGGGAGGAGGAGGAGGAGGAGGAGGAGGAGATTGGATTTATACCCCTCCCTTCACTACTCAAAGGAGTCTCAGAGCGGCTTACAATCTCCTTCCCCTTCTCCTCCCCACAACAGACACCCTGTGAGGTAGGCGGGGGCTGAGAGAGCTCTAGCAGAAACGGCTCTTTTTCAAGAACAGCAGTGCCAGAACTACGGCTTGCGCAAGGTCATCCTGCAGCTGCAAGTGGAGGAGTGGGGAATCAAACCCGGTTCTCCCAGATTAGAGTCCGCGCACTTAACCACTAGACCAAACTGGCTCTAGACCAAACTGGTTTAAACCCGCCCCACGGTCGCCACATCTTGCCCAAGGAGGGAAAGGCCGAGTAACCAGCTGCAACCAGCCAATGGCAACAGGCCAGAACAGATTCTTGGGGAGAGCCCAACATCTACCCTTCCCTGGTCAGAGCTATGACCTGGAAGAGGAAGAGGGCTCCTGAGGCAGCTATTACAGACCCGACTCACTACACCTCAGGTCCATGGATGGCCAATCTTCCCGTTGCCTCTGGGGCATGCAAACCTTTCCTAGGCACCCGGCAAAGGAAGCTTAACCACAAAACCAAGCCACCTTTCGGGGCACAAATGACTGACCAACTTGAGACCAGCTAGGCCGACGAGTCCTTTTAGGAGGAGGAGGAGAGGAAATGAAGGAAGGAAGAAAGGAAATCGGATTTATATCCCGCCCTTCACTCGGAGTCTCAGAGCGACTAACCATCTCCTTTCCCTTCCCCTCTCCGTGACAGACACCCTGTGAGGTAGGTGGGGCTTGAGAGAGCTCTCTTGAGGACTGCTCTTGAGAGAACAGCTCCGCGAGAACTTGTGACTTGCCCAAGGTCACACCAGCAGCTGCATGTGGAGGATTGGGGAATCAAGCCCGGTTCTCCCAGATTAGAGTCCATGCTCCTGACCACTACACCAAACTACGTACAAACGAATTAAATAAATTTGTGGTGAGGGGAATTTTTAGGGGAGGCAGTCTGCTCTCTGGTCCCATTCTAGAAGAGCTCTTTCGAGGACTGCTACTGAGAGAACAGCTCCGAGAGAACTTGTGACTGGCCCAAGGTCACACCAGCAGATGCATGCAGAGGAGTGGGGAAATCAAACCCGGTCCTCCCAGATTAGAGTCCGCGCTCCTAACCACGGCACCAGACTGGTTCTATTACAAAGCTTCCCTGCCTAGGACTGCTCCTGGGTCTGCCGGACTCTCTCCTGGCGGGTCAGGAGGACGGCGGGTGCAACGTTCGGCAGGAAGTGACGGAGCCATTCTCCCCTTTCATGTTGCCCCCCCCCCCCCCCCCCCCGTCCCCCCCCCCCCCCTTCCCTCAGCAGTTCTCCCCTCTTCTGTTTCTGCCCGCTGGCTCAGCTGTCTGTAATTCAACAAGGACCAGATGTGAACGCCGCCTCAGCAGGCCCAAGGGCCCGGAGAGCCGGGCGGCACGGAGACCGCCAGTCCGAAGTAGACGATACCAGAGGGATCCAAGATGGCTCCCGGGGCTCCTGAACTGAGGCTCTCTGAGGCCCTTTCCCGTGCCGCGATCCTCCTTCCCCCACCCGTGAGATACTGTCCTTCCTTTCCAAGGCCCCACTCCCTGCGGCCTTACTTTCCCTGGAAGCCGTAGTAGCTGCCCAGGAGCTGCTTGTATTCCTCGTGTGCGCAGAACTGGATGGCGGCGTAGGGGATCACACGGACCATGGTGGCGGAGTTCCCACGCCACAGGCTGAAGAAGCCGTCGTTGAGGTAGGTGCGGTAGATCAGCCGGTAAGCCTCCTGGGCAGAGGGGAAGAGAGACATACAGCCGTGAAGGGCAGAACGTCACCACGGGATGACCTCTTGATTTGTTGCTGTCGATGACAATGATTATAATGACAGCCAGTTAGGTGCCATGGTTGAGTGCGCGGTCTCTAATCTGGGAGAACCGGGCTTGATTCCCCACTCCTCCACTTGCACCTGCTGGTGTGACTTTGGGCAAGCCATAGTTCTGTCAGAGCTGTCCTTGAAAAAGAGCCGTTTCTGTCAGAGCTCGCCCAGCCCCACCTACCTCACAGGGTGTCTGTTGCGGGGAGGGGAAGGGGAAGGAGTTTGTAAGCCGCTCTGAGACTCCTTTGGGTAGTAAAGGGTGGGGTATAAATCCAGTCTCTTCCTCTCTTCTTCTTCATCATGATGATGAAGAGGAGGAGGAGGAGGAGGAGGAGATGAAGCTGAAGACGAAGAAGAGGAGGAGGAGGAGGAGATTAGGTTTATACCCTGCCCTTCACTTGGAATCTCAGAGAGGCTTGATGATGAAGAGGAGGAGGAGGAAGAGGAGATGAAGATGAAGATGAAGAAGAAAAGGAGGAGGAGATTAGGTTTATACCCTGCCCTTCACTTGGGAGTCTCAGAGAGGCTTACAGACTCCTTTCCCTTCC